AATGAAGGAAAGACATTCAAATGTGTTGTGTGTCGTTCAGTGAAATTTAATTTTATCGAACTTTTATGGATTATTAAATGGAATGAAGTTTGAATTTGATTTATAGAGGATCCAGTACAAGGAAGCAGTTCTCTGTTTTTTGTGTTTGGTTTGGAATGTTTGATTGTTTATTTTTGTAGGTTTAAGGAACATAGTTTTCTAATGATTGGAGGTTTAGTTAAGTAAATGAATAAGTTCGGTTCAACTTTTTTTGGCAGAATTTTGATGATTACTTGGTGAATGAGCTAATGTTGAGAGTAAATGGTTGACAGAAATCTTGGAGTTGTTACCTTATAGTATAAGTTTAAAGATTGTGAACTTAAAAGAAAAGGGAAAATGGTAAGCTTAAAAGAACAGAGTTGCAGTATCTTGGCGTGTGCATATACTAGATTTATAATAGTAAAATGGACACACCAATGTTAATCTTAAGACTCTATTGCAGTTGCAAGTTTGCTTTGTCTGGTATTCGGAGTTACACACCAGATTTTCGGTTATGGTGGAATAGGTTCGGCCAGATATTCCATGGTAGTTGGGTGTTCTAGAGAGCAAAGTAGTTATGACTATGAGAGAAGCTATGGATTTGGATGAGATTCCTACTAAAATGCTTTAGTGAAGTAGCTGTTCATAATATTACTTATTCCAATGTATTAGGAGATAGAGTGATTTGTTTTGTATTAGATGTACAAGCAGCTGAATTCATTCAAATGTCAATGATAAATGGAGTAGCAGAGACTGCCTAACCCTTTTTCTCTTCTTTATCAGAACCTTTGAAAAGATAATTAGCCAAACTGGTCAATCCTTCTCTTTTAAATGCTTTTTGTATTGTTAGCTGAGGATAACATGAAAGTTTTTTTTGTTTTATGTATGTTTTAATGGCTATTCTCATAATTCTACATTTCTCACGTTTCATTCATGTTAACAGGAAAATCCCAAGAGATTTGACAGAGGCTTCATTATCTGGTGCAGGGTTATCAATAATAGCTGCCCTTTCTATGATGTTTTTATTTGGAATGGTAGGCAGTGAGTTGTTTTAATTTCACAATATTTTTTATCTTTTATCTTGATGAGACTTTCTTGCTGCCCTTTCTTCCATCAGTTGACATTATTCTTTTATTTTTCTCTCTACCAATAGTTTCATCATAAATTATACTTTCACCTTGTATTAGTTTTCTCTCATTCCCAAACCCCAATGGTTTTTGGCAACTCTTTAACATGTAGACATAAACTGCAATTTTTATTTTGCAGGAGCTGAGTAATTATTTAACAGTCAGCACTTCTACATCTATTATTGTTGACAAGAGCTCTGATGGGGATTTTTTACGTATTGATTTTAACATCAGGTAGAAATTTTGTGGCATAAGTTTTTTTATTTTATTTTATTTTCTATGGCTATAAAGGTTTTTTAGTCTTAGTGCATATGTGCATGAGTATATATGTTCATATTTCAATATTTCTGATCTTGAGCCTCGGAAATATGATCTGTTTTAATTTTATGCTACAGCCCTGAGAATTTATTAAGTTTTGGAATTGGAAGATTTACTTATGTTGGAATGCATTGGTAGTTGCTATCAGGGACAATAAAACAGATTGCATCAGTCTATCAGCTTTTGTGTATGAATTCATACATTCAGAACATGATGAATCTGGTAACTGAGTCCAAAACTTTATAGTTAGGTTGAGTATCATGTCTGTGTTTGATGTTATTGCCTTATTGGTGGGCCAGGTGAACTGCATCTCAGAACAAAACAGATGGGATTTTTGTACTATTGAGTCAGCACAAACTTACTGAAGTTATAGATTTCATGCACATATCTGTATACTGTGGAGTATATTATAGATAGGTTGTATTGTTGTAATGACAAGATGATGATTTGTGATTCTTGCAACTTTGGCATTTGCTCTATGTGAGCTTGGCATAAAAAGGACAGCATCTTTCATGAGGGACCAAACTATGTCGCAAACTTGGAATGTACTGATTGGCAGCAAGCAATGAGATCACATCAGCATTTTGTTTCTTCTGATTTCTTCATTGTTCATTTAAAACTTGCTGCTTTTGGGGTCTTCTGATATAAGTAATTTGAAAATTATATGCTACATATTGCAGTGCATCTTTCAACTTCTAATTAGTATGAATTTGATGTTTGGCTGTTGACTTACTCTGCTTTTTCTTGTATTTTCAAATAACTGTTTGCAATTTGTTTACATGTCTTCTTTTTCTGACTCTTTCTGCTATATTTGTGCATGTATTTGAGTCTATTCCCTTTTTCTTTTCCCACTTAATTAATTATGTTGACTAAGTGATTTAATTGTACTCTAGTTTTCCAGCACTCTCTTGTGAATTTGCTTCAGTGGACGTGAGTGACATCATGGGGACTGTAAGTTGCTGTCATCTTATTACTTTGAGTGCTTTTGGGGAAAAAAAATATATTTGTCTTGTTCTGCATTAATTTTTTAAAACACTGTTGATGCTTCAATCTTGTAGTTCTCAGCTTCAACAGTGGTTAATGGCTTACATAAATTGTATGTGGACGACTTTTGATCAGCTATTTGAAGTTAATTTTTCTACAGGGTGAATATTTAGTGTTAGTTTATAACCAGTGAGCTTTTGGAATTCTTTTCTACTATTTACTGGCTTATGTTGTTATACATTGCATTAGAACATATTAAATTTTTGTATTTCAATGTTGGTAGAGAAGCGGTGTCAATCTATACGTATTCATTGAACTGCCTTGCCTGATATCACACTTTTTTTCCTTTTCAGAACAGGTTAAATATAACAAAAACAGTCCGTAAGTTTTCAATAGATCCAGATTTAAGACCAACTGGTGCAGAGTTTCACTCAGATCTTGTCTCAAATTTCATTAAGCATGGGGATGATGTGGATGAAGAATCTGTTGAAGGTTCTGTACCATTACTTGGTAGTAACTTCGACAAATTTTCACATCAGTAAGTTGATGGTCTGACTTGCAATCCTTTTGCTTGCCCTTTGAGTCTGTGTTTCACCATGGGAGGGTTTCCTTGTAAATACGAATACGATCATTATGGAGATACTTTATTTACTTTAATCTGGACATTTCTTTTCCAGGTATCCAATTTTAGTGGTTAATTTTTATGCTCCTTGGTGCTACTGGAGTAATCGCCTGGTAATTCTGCCTTTTCAGTTTCTTGTTGTCCATTTATCATCAGTTCACTGTCTTATTTGTCAACAAGCATAATAATAGTTCTGTCAATATGAGTAAATAACTCTGTCATTTAGTTAGAAATAGTTCTCTGATTGTATGCTGGCATTCATTTATTTGTGTTGGTGTTCTAATGCCTTTGAATGCAGTTTAAGTGGGAACTATGATATTCATAGTCCCTAAGTGGCAAAAAGTTAGATATTGGCTGACATTACTTAATTTTCTGAAATAGTATCTATTTTACACTTTCGGTTAAATCTCTAAGAGGTTGGATCTGATCTCAAAGCTAAGATATGTCACTGAGAACTTGCCTTACTGCATATCCTTTCGGGTTTCAGAAACCTTCCTGGGAGAAAGCAGCCAAGATAGTAAGAGAAAGGTTTGAGCATATTCTGTTTCTTTTCTTTTGTTTAATTGATTTTTGAACATGTCTGGTGTAGAAAATTGTCTCTGTTGCTTTGATTTAATGGATTGCTATCTCGAATCTCTTATGAGCCATTGTTTTTTTACAGATATGATCCAGAAGTGGACGGGCGTATTCTTTTGGGAAAGGTTGATTGTACTGAAGAAGTTGACTTGTGCAGGAGGTACTTTTTAGATTGATGTTTTATTTCTTTTCTTTTACTTATGCCATTCAATAGCAAGAAATTTAAGGTTTGATCTTGCCTCATATGGTTCTTGCATTTCTACCTTCTTTTAAATTGTAGTTCTTACGGTTTATATAAAGAATTTCCTTGCATCTAACAACATGAAGAATTAATTTTTACAATCATTCTCACTCTCCTCTTTTCTTTTTTTCTTTTATTCCCCATCAACATTTCAGGCATCACATTCAAGGCTATCCGTCTATTCGCATTTTTCGTAAAGGAAGTGATGTTAGGTAAAAGGCATATGCTTTACATAATCTTTTCTTTCCCAGAGATATATGTGCTGCTTGCCCTTACTCTCCTGTAGGCTAATTTGACTTGTGAACCACATCATGTTCTATCCATTCATTGTTTTTCTAGCTTTGATTATCTGTTTCTTTTATAGGGATGCTTCTCTGTCCTGTTTTCATTCCTATCTTCATTATCTGGCTTACATGTTACAGAGAGGACCATGGACACCATGATCATGAATCCTATTATGGTGATCGTGACACGGAAAGCCTGGTTAAGGTACAACACATTTAAGTTTGAAGTGCATTTGAATATTGGTTTACATTTCTATTCTTGTTTACTACCATATGTCAAATGCCTATTGAGATGAGGTTTTTGTTTCTTCCAGACAATGGAAACGTTGGTTCAATCGATCCCAACAGAGTCCCAGAGGCTGGCTTTGGAGGATAAATCAAATAGTGGAATTAGGAGACCTGCACCGTCAGCAGGTGGATGTAGAATTGAGGGATATGTACGTGTGAAGAAGGTAATTGTGAGCCTCAATTTGATTTAGAAAACCTTGTCTTCTTGTAAGTTGGATGCCCAGAAGGTAACTTTTAACCTATGAGATAAAGCAATAATAGAAATATGAGATCATGTAATATCTCTGCCTAGTTAATCAAGGAGGGAATTTTTCCTTACCTGTTTTGGAGTAAGACTTCTCTTTGTTCCTTTTCCCCTTTTAAAATTTCATTTCTTCTTGTCTTGTACATATTTCAGGTTCCAGGAAACCTCATCATCTCAGCTCGTTCTGGATCCCATTCATTTGATGTTTCTCAAATGAATATGTCACATGTCATATCCCATCTTTCATTTGGTCGGACTATTTCACCAAGGGTAATGAGTGATGTAAAGCGTTTAATACCCTACCTTGGTCGAAGCCATGACAGGTTAAATGGTCGATCATTCATCAATCACCGGGATTTAGGAGCAAATGTTACTGTAAGTTTATAAACATTACATGATCTGTCCTGTTTATTTGTTTATTCAGCAATTCAGCAGTTGGATTACTGTATAGTTAACCACCAGCATACTTTCCTTGTGAATGTTATTAGCCCTACCTGACTGAGACATGCATAGAACATAGCATGTGAAATATGTAAGAAAGGTAGAAAATGGAACTATTTTTAATCCTATTCGTGAAAGACCTTTGGTCTAGACCGTAGAGGCTTTCATATACTTTAATTTTAGTTGCTGCCATACTATTCAGAGTTTAAAAGCATCTTGATAATAATTTTTATTGCACAATGCGTTTGCAGATAGAGCATTACCTTCAAATAGTTAAAACCGAGGTGGTAACAAGAAGATCTTCTCGTGAGCATACATTGATTGAAGAGTATGAGTACACTGCACATAGCAGTCTGGCGCAGAGTCTACACATACCTGTTGCAAAGTTCCACTTTGAACTCTCTCCAATGCAGGTCTGGTTATGTAACAAGCTTTAAATTTAAATATTATTTGTCCTTGCCTCCTTTCATACTAAATCTTCTGCACTTGTCAGGTTTTAATAACAGAAAACCCAAAATCCTTTTCACACTTCATCACCAATGTGTGTGCCATTATTGGGGGAATTTTCACGGTGGGTATCATACATTTTCTCATTTTTACTGGAGCAATCCATGAATGCAACAGTATATGTTCTTGATGCTTCTCTTTTGCATTACAGGTTGCTGGGATTCTGGATTCAATTTTCCACAATACAATTCGAGTGATGAAGAAGGTAGAGTTAGGCAAAAACTTATGATAGAAAAGGAGAAGATTTGTTTACACCGTAGAGAATTCTGATTTTTTCACTTTTAGTAGAAGGATGTCTTAAGCTACATGATTTTAGCTGTACCCCTTCTGAACATTAAACCAAGGATGTGAGGGCATTACGAAATGATTAAGGATTTCAGTTTAAATTCCGCTT